CAGGCAGTAACCAAACAATTACATTTTTAGCATTGAAATAAATAATCTAAATTAATGGGGAAAAAATAACAAATTTCCTCAGATGTAAATTGAATTCACCGGGATCTATTTAACGTAAAATAATATAGACAGACCCCTGTTTTCATTAATATAATAATAATATTTTTTAAACAATATACATCTAAGAGTGCAGAATGTCATCATTTTAAATGATGTCTTTGCAGATATTCTGTTTATTTTAGTAATTCTTTAAGTCCAGTGACTGTCTGCGCATGCACCACCTTTGCCTCTGTTCATGCCAGACATGATTGTTGTGTACAAAAGGTCAATGAACAGATCACGCAATGCATGTAAACAGGCATCAGTCATTCAGGCGTACAGAGTCAGCGATACACTCTTAGCACACATAAACATTTAACACTGCAAAGCATCATTTGCATACAAAATTTAAAAAAAAAAACTCAACCACTTAAGCTTCCGTTCCATCTAATTTGGGGTTCGCTGTGATGCCTTTTGTTACTTCTGTCTCTTTGGTAGAAATATTGCTGTGCCAAATGTCAGGTTTTTGAGTTGGACGGCGGCTCACTATTTCCCATGTGCCATGAGCCTTGATGGATTGAAGCGTTTGTGCATGAAATAGACTGAGGTATTTGAATATACAAGCCCATTCCCGCTGTTGTTATTCTGTTCCAACACGCTCCAGACACAGGAAAGTGCTCAACAAAGGCCTGAGTCACCCATAGATTTATGCATGAGACGCTCTATTCAGAAAAAAAATCATCTGTATGCCTTTGACGTGATGATTTGTTAGCATTTGTGTGTTTGCGTCCTGGAAAATATTATCTCCGAAACCACGTCTTGAATACTTGCAAATGATTACGGTCCTTTGCATGCTCGGGACCAGCTGTTTGGGGGAAGCAGTGACACGGTTTTCCGGTGGAGGTCAACGGGGACTGTGAGCTCTTATTATCTGCAGCAGGCACTTAACACAGTCAAAGCACTCTTCTCAACTTTATGACACAATTCATAATTTACGCTCCATTTATGCTTTGTTGTTCCAAATCATTTACCAGAAGACTGATTCAGAGTAATGGCAGCGCAGCAGATAATAAGATGATTGATGGGCTTATTTCTTAATGACTGGGCTTTGGTTCCGATTGGTAATTTCTTGTTTCTGGTAGTCATAAAATGCTGTTTATTCCCCGAAGTAAACATTGAAAAACAGTCAGTTGCAATACATTTCCACTTAGTTAAAATGGATGTTTTTGTCCTTTACACCTAAATCTGTGGTAACGCTCCGTCTCATCTTGGGCTTTATTGTTTTTACAGTGCCTAATTTGAAATGCTCTTCAGTGTTAAATCAGAGCCAATTTAATTAGGCTTTTTTTTTTTTTTGACATGAATTTGAATCGACAAAAGATTTCTACAAAGTCACGTCAGTTAATTCAAAATTGTGAAAATAAGTGATTTGATTCAAGTCCAGCCACAAATGCTCAGTTGGATTGAGGTCTGGGTTCTGATGCGGCCGCTCCAGAACCTTCACCTTCTTGTTTTTTAACCATTTCTGTGAAGCTTTGGGTGAATGCTTCGGGTCATTGTCCAGATGGAAAACAAATCTCCTTCTGAGTTGCAGTTCTCTTGCAGTGCACTCCTTACACTTTGCTGATATCTTTCATCTTGTACTTTTTACAAACCTTCTAGCGCCCACTGCCGAGAAGCAACCCCACATCATGATGGTGCCACCGCCATGCTTCCCAGTGGTGTTTGTGTGATGAGGTGCAGTGTTCGGTGTCTTTAAATGATGACCAGAAAGCTCCGTTTTTGCCTCCTCAGACCAAAGGATGATCTTCCAGTTGACTTCAGAGTCTCCCACAGGCCTTCTGGTTAACTCCAGTCTAGATTTAACAAGTTAGTTTTTTTCAACATTGGCTTTTCTCTTTGCAACTCTCCATAAAGTTTTTACTGGTGAACAACAGCCAGTAGTTGCTGAATGCACAGTGTCTCCCATCTAGGCTGCTGAAGCTGCTTCAGAGGAGTCATAGGTGTCTTGGTCACCTTCCTTACTCATTTCTTTCCTGCACGGTCACTTGGTTTTAGAGGATGGCTTGCTCTAGGCACACTTAGGCGTGTGCCATATTTCTTCCATGTCTTAATGATGGATTTCAGTGGACTCCAAGGGATATTCAGTGACTTGGAAATGTTCTTGACTTATTCCCTGACTACGTTTTTTTTTTTTTTTTTTTAGAGAGATTTATTCTCCTCCAAAAACCAAAATAAATAGTTCATGATTCAATATGGAAGAGCAATAAAAGGAGAAAACTTCTAAGGGGGTGAATACTATTTGTTGAAGCTTTATATACTTATGAGGGCATTTCAAATAATTACTGGCAACTGTCCAAAAAATATTCTTGCATTTAAGTGACACATTTTTTGGATGCACTTTGACCAAATTGTTGCTGTTGGATCTAAGACTTGCAAAGAGGTTTGCTGTATGTCGTCTTTAAAAACTCTGCCTGCATGGTTCGCAGGAAGGAGGGAGTTAAACCGTCTATTCCGCTCTCCAGTCTCGAATTATTCAGTGCTCAACAGTGTGCTCATGCGTGTCATGCAGTCATAGTGTTCTTCAGAGGAGTGACATTCCACCTCTATTTAAAAACACCAGATGCCTGTCAGTCTCTCTCCCTTTACTTATCACACACCCTCTCCAATCTGTAGGCCGACTTATAAAATATGCATTTATTAAAGTGCAGCGAAGCCTGCTGACTCCTACTGACGACTTGATCACACGTAGAGCAGCTCCTGAACCAGCTGCTGACTCAACTGAGTGAGGCTTTTTTTTTGTCTCTGACAGTCCGTCGGCTTAGTAAAACGTAGCCTCAGCAGCTCAACGTGCGCCGTGTTGAACAACAAATGCCTTCAGACGTTAATGCAGATCACTGCTAATGGAGGATTTCAAGGATTCATTTGGAAGAGGAGTTGAAACTATGAAGGATACCTGAACAGAATGAACTGACTAGTTAATGACCGAAATGAATTTGCACTGATAATGCTTAAAATGAAACACCTGGAATGACAATACAGTTTGTAGAGCCTAAACCCTTAATTTTCAAGGGGGTTATAATGTAAAGTATGCATCTTGCTGAGCATTTTCCAGCCATCTCTAACAGGCATAGTTCAAGTTTTGGTCTCATAGGTGGAGAAATGGTGTCGCTTATCCTGCCTGATAAGTCACTCACATAAATTTGTGTGTCTGCGTTTTACAAATAGAATGTATTGTTATTTACTGTGAAATAGTGTTGCCTGTATCACCAAAAGTTTGTAATATTGTCAGCAAATCATAGTGAGCATTATGACCTGTACCAAACACTGGAAAACTTTATTGTAAAGATGAACAGTGGTAACAAAAGTAGTGCCTCTGCAACTCTGTGTTTGTAGTCGTGTTTGTCACCAAGACTACAAACTACATTGTTTAAAAAATAAATAAAGGGTCATTGAGCTGAATCAACATTGCTGTGAACGTCACCAAATTGGTGTTTTTTGTGCAGCTGCAAGGTGTTTTATGATGTTTCTGTAATTGAGCTTTCATGTCTTGTTTCTCAGGAGCGTTGGTCACTTGAAAATATGGAAAACCTCACCACTTCCAAAGACAAAGTAATTTCATGAAGTACGGTACAGATCGGACCTCAAGGGGTTGCAAGATGTTTTAATAGGCTGGGAAAATGTGTTTCCTTTTGACAAGGTTGTTTCTGATCCCTTTTTTTTCACTTATTATGTATAGAGCAGCATCAGCGGGAGTGATATTCTACACAGTGAACGCCTTTAGTGACTGGATGAAATATCCAATATCCTGAAGGTCACACATTTAACACTGGCAATGGACAGTATGCCCCTAAATAAAAGCCCACTCCTCCCGCTTGCTGATTCTTTTAATGTTGCTTTGGATGATTAACTAACTGACAAAATGTACTGTAAAGCAAGAAAGAAGAAATGGTCAAGGAGAAGAGGAACTCATAAGCAACACACTTAAGGATTATATATTGGGGAATGTGAAAGCATGAAAACGAGCAGAGGTGACAGCGGCTGTGACAGCAGGTGGAGAAAATGAATCGATGGCTGGAATTGATCTTGTTAAGTTGAGGCAGCGGTGCGAGACCAATTGCGTAACATGCGGCTCAAAGCTAGGTCAGACAGGTAGAGCGAGGGGGAAGGAGGTGGAGACGGGCGCGCTGCTGATGGCGAACAAGGGGATGAGTGAAAAACTACGGTGGCCGACGGGTGCAAACGACGCGCAGATACACAAACGAGCTGCATATACATGAATGTGTTGCATAAACAGAAACACGCTGCAAAAAGAAAACGCTGCATATCCACTCACACAACGGAAGTGCCCCAGCACGAATTTCAAACCAACACACTTCAACTGGAATTACCTTTCGTGTCTGGGGCACGTTTTTCTCCCATCAGACAGCGCATATGCTCTGATGTTTTTGTCGTTCTTTTCTTCCGACAGTCAGACATTAACCAGTTTTACTGTCATGCCCCGTCCACACTAATAGCTATAGAGATTACTATACAGATGTGTGCACCCACACTGACCAACGTTGGTGTCGTCTGAAAAGAAGGACACATGCAGGAAAACGGTGACCGGAAGATGTACTGTGATTGTAGCGAGTGTAAAGTGTAAAACAGTACATTGCAACGCATTCATGTGCATGCAGCTCGTTTGTGTATATGCACATCGTTTGCACCCGTCGGCCACCATAAAAAACTGGCTTCATTGGATGCAATATGACAAGTGTACCACTGACAAAGAAAGGAATCCCTAAAAAGGCAGAAGACAGTACGAAAATTAATAACAAGGTCCTCTGGCAGGCTATTACGCATATTACTGTAAACGAACATAAATTTGTGTTTGTTTTTTGCAGACTTGGAGCCGGACGGCTGAGCGCCGTGAGCATTGTTTTGAAAATGCTGAGTCGATATCCTGTTTGTCTTGGCAGAGATCCGGGAGGCGTTTAAGGTGCTGGATCGTGATGGAAATGGGTTCATTTCCAAGCAGGAGCTGGGTATGGCCATGCGGTCTCTGGGGTACATGCCCAGTGAAGTGGAGCTGGCCATCATCATGCAGAGACTAGACATGGATGGTGAGTCACATGTACGCACATAGGTGTAAAAACGTTCTGTGCATGCAGATGGAGTTCCTGCCCTCATGTGTTATATCATGCATCGACTTTAAAAGCAATTCTCTATCATGGAAGTGTAACCGCCGTGAGCTATGTGGTCTCAGCCAGCAGGCAGCTTCAATACGATTTACAGTAAACTGCAATGTGTTTTTTTTTATGTGCCTGTTGAGATGCACGGATCACATATTCCTCTGTGTTATGCATAAAACATTTATTCATTCGTGCATGACTGTGTGCTCTTCATTCTCAACCACTTGTCGATTCCACTCAACACATGAAAGTACCTAATTGAAACTGATGTTGTGCGAGAAAATCATAAATGAAGAGATGTGCGAGGTAAATAAAGCGAGGGCAACATGACAAATGGATAGCTGTTGTGGGTCAAAGTGGCTTTTCATATTGGTTGCATGAAAAGAAGTAACTGAAAGGTGTCAGTGCATTAGCTGCACAACTGAATATGTATGAAGAAGCATCGCAACACTCTCTTATAGGAATGGATCCAAAGTGCTCATGGTGTCTCCAGTCAGAGCCGTGAAATCGGAATCAGCTGAGGTTTATTTCTGCAGCCACATGTGCTCACCTGTGACCTTTTAACCTTTTCTCCTCAGAAAAAAAAACACTCTCAGCAGCAAGAAAATACAAACAAATGCAACCTCTTCTCTGTCAGACAGCATTTGTGCCGAGCCAGGTTCCAGGACAATCTGTTAACCGTGACTGACATTTTATAAAGGGTAGACTCTTAAAGTCGTGTAAGGCAGGGATGGGAAAATGCAATATGCAAATGTCAGTTCACTGGGAAAATATTCCAAATTCTTCATGCTGCTATCCGAGTCTTTGATAAGTGTTTTTCAGTTTCGCTGCCGAGAGAGAAATACTGTAATTGTTCAAGGCTGAATATTAAAGTTGAAGAAGTTAGACTGCCTTTATTCCTCTTCTGACTCATCCGCCTCAGAGTCTCGGGAGAACCATAACTGCTTTTCTGCCTCAGGGCCGGATCTTGTTGCATCGTCTGCTACGACTTGAAGAAACAGGCGAGGCTACTTTCGGAGCTGACAAAGGTCACAGCAGCTTTTGTCTCAGGAAGTCTTTGACGTGTAACGCTGTTCATTTATTTATTCGCTTCATTGTCGTTTATCTTTCCGTCTCTGTGTATTGAATTAGAATTTTTTGGAGCTCTTTTTCTCCATTAAGTGACCCAGGTCATCTCGTTTGTGTTGATTGATGTCTTTGGCAAAATGCTGAGCGTTTTGTTTATTTGCAGAATTCTTGTCTTATCAGGATTTATCAGATATTACCCAGCAGGTTCAGACAAAGCCTCCACTCAGGTTGTTGCATCCAAAAAATCCAAATGATTTGGAAGACAGAGCGATGGAACTGACAATTTGTGTGTCAATAGACAGTTAAGATGCAAACAGATGCAACAGACCACAAGGAGGCATGTCATGTTTCCAAATCAGTAAATCTTGAGCTGCAGAGCTTCGGTTGGGTGTAGCAATGCAGTAAAATGAACATTTTTCAACTTTTGTGCCCACTAGGGTTGATTAATCAGTTGATTTTAATTAAAAATTGCAAATTTAAACAATGCAAAGCAAATCGCAAAGGCTGCAATTTAGCATATATATATTATGCAAAGTGCATCTGACTCAGGATTTAAACTGGAAGCTGCTGTTGTCTCATGTGGTAACGATCCATCACCTATTTTAAATCTATTACATTATTATTACTTTATATCACAAATCATGTTGCAGTATCTGTTTGAAATATTGCACTTCTTTAAATCACTCAGTCTCAGTGCCCACCAGTGGTTTTATCAGAGACTGTACTGTATATTGCAACCCCAGAGACACTGATCTGATCCAAGCACAAATCCCCCCAAAAAGTCTTAGTAACTCGACAGATGTTCCAGTCAAACGTTCTGTAAAGGTTTCATGACAGTTTGTTGGATACAGTAAGATAAAGTGAAATACATAACTGGGCTGCAGCAATAACATTTAAGCTTCTGTATTTGTTCTAACATTACTAATGGATTAAAGTTTAATAAAGAAATACATTTTCGGACTAATGAAGGTAATTGCAAATTGCAGTCCTAATTACTTTATCCCTTTATTGATTGTGTTCACCCTCTGTAACCTTATTCAGCGCCGACTGTTTGGAAGAAATTAGTTTGCGGTTATCTTCTCATATGCTTGTGCATTGACGCGATGATTAAGAGGCAGTGATCAAAGGGACACGGCATGAAGGAGAGGATGGGTATTAGCAGGTGAATGTGAATGGATGATAGCGATCGTATCTCGGCCAGATGGGCAGCTGTGAGGATTGGATCCTCGTTCACGGCCATTGATTCTCAGCCCAGCGGCCAAGTCCAGCTGATCTCTAGAAGATACTGATAGGTTATCTGTTCTGCTCGTCACTGCCGCCAGACCAATCCATGTGATTGTTTTTGAGCTCTCGTGTGCCCTTCATGGAGAGGTGTGACTGCTCGTCTTTGTTCCTGACCACAGCATTGCACCAGCCTTTGTTTTTCAGTCTGCTCTTCTTTTTATTTTTTGTGTGTGTGCTGTTAATGACCTTGATTCCTTGGCTCTGTTGACTTTTATTCTAAGTTTACTTCTGTGTATATTCGCTAAAAGCCAACAGGGACCAACAGTTAGTTTTAATTCCCCTTTGTCTTTAATCTGATTTTGCCTTTAACTAAAAGGATTTTTGCTCCATCTTTCTTAAATAATTCGTGACTGTTTCGAGCCGAAACAGGATGCTTGGTTGTGACATAACGCAGGAAGAAACCGGTCAGAAGCAGGAGGTTTCGGCTTTAACAGCCACAAAAAAAGGACTCGGTGTGCATAATGTTGAGCTGACACAAGCTGAGGTTACATCAAAATGAGAACTGACGTGCAACCATGATGCGATAGGAGAAGATTCTTCAACATCACCCTGATGTTTCTTTAAGTTTGTATTGCCGTGCACGTCTGCCACAACAGGAAGTAAGGCTGAATAATGAAGAGGTTTCCTCAGTTTAACGCTGTTGACAGTTTGCTCTTAGAAAGTCCTCTAATGTTATCAAACCGGTCGTCAAATAAGATAGATATAAATTCATCTAAATTTAAAAATTAATGCTGTCATTCATTATTAAGTCGGTGCAGTCATTGTCAGTTGGAACAAATGCCGGCTGTCGTCCCGGGGCAGCAGGTGGCTGAGCAGAGTGCACATTCAGTAATTATTGGATTATTCAGTTTAAACTAGTTCCTTTTATGCACTTTTGTGGCGTGTGGAGAGCTTCTTCACATCACCTGGAGCAAAAATTGGGTGAAGATTACAACAATCAAAGACTTAAATCATTGATCCATTCCTTTTTTTTTGTTTTGTTTTTTTTCCTGTTTATTTCCATTCATGGCTGCCAGGGGGCTGCAGCCTCTGCCAGCATAGTGTGCACTGTGTGGGAGGTGCATGTTACAGCGTGTCATATGGAGTATTATGAGTCATTTTTTTACTTCAGTAGGACACTAAAAGAAGTGGACTGGCAGGATTAATGATTGCAAAAACAAAATTTCCATCGTAGATATGAGAACTGACTTCAGTGACAACTTTTTTAACAGCCACATTGATAAAGAGTCTCCTCAATAAGCTAAATTGTATTGTATTGTCAGGAACATATTAAGGCAGGGGTGTCAAACTCATTTTAGTTCAGGGGCCACGTACAGCATAATTAGATGTCAAGTGGTCCGGACCAGTAAAATCAGCATAATTACCAATAGCTTGTTTGTGTATGTGCACGTCATTTGCCCATGTCAGCCACCGTAGATCAAAGCAGCGCCTCAACACAGCACCTCGGCTTAACCGTCTTACCTCAGTGTGATATGGCAGGCTATGGGCTACGTGATTGTCACTGAGAAGGCAGTCAAACTGACGATGATTCAGACCTCTGGCTGGGATGAAATTAACAGTTCGGACAACCACCTCCATGACGGGATCCATTTTTAAAGACTTGCAACTCAGTGCCTCCTGGTGCAAAGTACAGTGACATGTCCAGAAACCACCTCCTCCATTAGTGGCTTGAACTTTTTCTCTGAACTTTTTCACAATGCCTGCTTTTCGTCCGATAATTGATGGCGCGTTGTCTGTAGACAGGCTGACAGCGCGGGACCAGTCCACTTAGACGCTCCAACCAGAGAGCTGAAAGTGTCCTCAGCTGTTGGTGTCCATCACAGGCACCAACTCAAGGAACTCCTCAGTGACGGTCTCATTACCTCCACGAATAAAAATGACCAGTTGAGGAACGTCTGGAATGTCAGTTCTCTCATCAATTGCAACAGAAAATGCAAGAAAGGACTTGACTTTGTGTTTTAACTGGCTGCCCAAATCTGCTGATACTTCTGAAATCCTCTCTGCTATCGTGTTCCTCATCAGGCTAATGTTGGCAAAAGCTTGTTGCTTCTTGGGACACACTAGTTCTGCAGCCTTCATCATGCATTTTTTTTGCCAAACTCACCGTCGGAATACGGCTTTGATGCTAATGCTATTTCATTAGCAATTAGGTAGCTGGCTTTTACCGCTGCTTCACTGACCTCTCAGCTCCGGGTGAAAATGGACCAGTGTTTCCTCAGACCCACCAGCAATTAATTTATCTTCTCTCCGCTCAGTTGTCCTTGCAAGCTGTCGTATTTTTCGCCATGATGAGTCTCATAGTGGCGCCGAACGTTATATTCCTTGAGCACCAAAACTTGTTTGATACTCACCAAGCACCAGGTTTCCCATTCATCCCTGTGAATAAATAGGACGCGGTCCACTCTTATAGGAAAACTCTGCACTCTGTATCCACTTTTCTCCTTTTTGACAAAGACATTTTGGTTAATGAGGGTGTGGGGGCGAGTGGAAAATAGTTTAGACCACACCATAATAAACATCTGCTGTTTGAGTCCAAGTCTTCTACTCTGACTAATACAGTGCACCCCTGGTGGATAATTTAGGAATAGCATTTTATTAAAAAATTCTAGTTCGTGTCTTTTATGCATTTTTCCACTATCAAAACTCATCCTGCAGGCTGGACTGAACCCCCTTGCAGGCCGATTTTGGCCCGCGGCCTGTATGTCTGACACCAAAGCTATGTAACTTCTGAATCTTTCACTTCCTTCACTTTTGCCATTCGGTTCAGAGCAGGAAATATACAATCAGCTTTTGTCAGAAGTTATTTATTTGAACAGTCACCGGCTACTGACCAGATTTATAGCAGTAGGACACTAAAAATAGTGGACTGACNAGTTCGGACAACCACCTCCATGACGGGATCCATTTTTGAAACTCAATGCCCTTGGTACAAAATACAGTGACATGTCCAGAAACCACCTCCTCCATAGTGGCTTGAACTTTCTCTCTGAACTTTGTCACAACGCCTGCTTTTCTTCCGATCATTGATGGTGCACAGCGCAGGACCAGTCCACTCCGACGCTCCAACCAGAGAGCTAAAAGAAAGTGTCCTCAGCTGTTGGTGTCCATCATAAGCACCAACTCAAGGAACTTCTCAGTGACGGTCAATGTCTCATTAACTCCATGAATAAATATGACCAGTTGAGCAACGTCTGGAATGTCAGTGCTCTCATCAAATACAACAGAAAATGCAAGAAAGGACTTGACTTTGTGTTTTAACTGGCTGTCCAAATCTGCTGATACTTCTGACATCCTCTCTGCTATCGTGTTCCTCATCAGGCTAATGTTGGCAAAAGCTTGTTGCTTCTTGGGACACACGAGTTCTACAGCCTTCATCATGCATTTTTTTGCCAAACTCACCGTCAGAATACGGCTTTGATGCTAATGCTATTTCATTAGCAATTAGGTAGCTGGCTTTTACCGCTGTTTCCTCAGACCCAGCAGCAATTCATTTGTCTTCTCTCTGCTCAGTTGTCCTTGCAAACTGTCGTATTTTTCGCCATAATGAGTCTCATAGTGGCTCCGAACACTATATTCCTTGAGCACCAAAACTTGTTTGATAGTCACCAAGCACCGGGTTTCCCATTCAGCTCTGTGAATAAATAGGACACGGTCCATTTTTCTTGGAAAACGCTGCACTCTGTATCCACTTTTCTTCTTTTTGACAAAGACATTTTGGTTAATGAGGGTGTGGCGGCGAGTGGAAAATAGTTTAGACCACACTGTAATAACCATCTGCTGTTTGGTCTGAGTCTTCTACTCTGACTAATACAGTGCGCCCCCGGTGGATAATTTAGGAATAGCATTAAAAATTTCTAGTTCGTGTCTTTTATGCATTTTTCCACTGTCAAAAATATAGACTGTATAAAAGATGGACGTAGCTACCGTGACGTCACCCGTTGGTTTCTGCACTGAGAAAATGAAGCCAGGGTTCTGCTACTTCCTGGT